TGCATAAAAGTCTCTTTCTAACACTCAGCTCTGTACTTAGTGCAAAATTCATTCAAAATGTCTCACATATTCAAGTGCATGAAAAAAAACTTTTAGATGCTATTTCCTCCTCATCTCATATGGAATACCAGGCTATCAAGTTTTGATTGTTTGTTTTTTATATGTTTTTGTTTGAGGGCATACAGTTGAGAGTACTTCTTGAAGGAAATTACAGTCCATAATGCTTTCAGTTACAGAACTAAGCTTTCACATTCTTACTCTTGGATAACAGCAAGTAATAAAAAGCCACTTCCTTGTCCTAGCCAAGTATTTTATTTTGTTCTAGAACATAACTTGAAGTGAGTCCTGTGGGAATTGAAATGAGTGCATATGCTAAGTAACACAAGAAGACCCACAAAAGCTCCAGGACATGCTGGAGCCCACAGTTAACATAACACAGAACATCAATGTAACAAAAGAAAAAAAACCCCAACCAAACAAACAAAAAAACCCCAGAAAAACCAAGAAGAAAAAGCATCATCTCTAGTAACAGAAGACCTGACCTGTAAATAAAGAATTGATTCACTACTGCATACATAAAAATGTTTTCAAGAAGCCACTGAATCATTGTTAGAAGAGAGATAAAGATATATTAATTTACAGTTCTAATAAGAAAAATCACAAGATTCATCTTTGGCAGAAGACAAGCAACTGTGAGTATTGGTTGAAATAACTGATTCACAAAGAACAAGAATTTGACACTAGATGGTGTTTTTCAGGTGGATGCATCTGCAAGCCTTCATGACACCCAGAGCCACCACTCTGCAAAGAAGAATTCAGTGCTTCAATACATATTTTTCAAAACAGCATGGAGTATCTCACCTTATCCATTTCACTTATACAGTGCATATCAGCTTCAAGTCCATGGGCACCTGCTTGCTGCCATATTTCCTCAGCTATGGCTTTTGCCTGCCCCTTTTGTGTTGCATAGAGGAGCAAAAACCTCCTTTTTGACTCACAGCACATCCTATTTTTTTTAGAGAAACTGCAGAGGAAAAAAGAATTAAAAAAGTGAATTTCTTGTAAGCCGAAAAGCAAGATTTTACTTTGCTTATGATATTAAAAAGAAATAAAGACAGCAGCATTGGTGTTTAACTTGGAAATGAGGGATCTGCTCTGAAGTGAAGCCATTTCTCACAAGCAAGCTTTGTAGATCAGGTTGCAAAGGATGTGTGCTGTTGGTCCTATGTGCTGTACTGCCTTGATGCTCCAGTAATGTAACAATATCTCTGATATCAAGAATTTAGTTTGTAACCCATATAACATGAAAACTTCTATAATTAAATATATACTATTTTTATTATATTATTATATATTTTCCATTTCAATTTATTGACTGTTTTGTTCACTTTTCCAAGCTGTCTTTGAAAACAAAACAAAACAAAGACCTGGTAAAGTCAAACTAAAAGCCTGATGAAAAAAAATTTAAATTCTCTGTTTCTTCTTTTCTGAGATCAGTATTTTTGCTGCAATGACTTTACACTTTATTGTCCACTAGGTATCTTGGAGCACAAACACTGACTTCAATCTTGTATTTCAAAAGGGAGCTCCTTACACAAGTGCAACCTGACCCTGAGGTTAGCTCAGCTTCTCAGAACACAATGCTAATAACACCAAGGTGCTGCTTTTGATCCCCATATTGGCCATTCACTTTGGAGGAGTTGGACTTGATGATACTTCTGGGTCCCTTCCAACACAGACTACTCTGTGATTCTGTGAACTAAAGAATTGACCCTTTGGGGTTTTATTCTCCTAAAAGTAAGAAACAATCTTAGAGCACTCTGTCGCGGGGTCACCAAGTCCCTTGCAAGCAGCAGGATGAATGAGATGCATACCCTTATCCATTCACCTGTCCCATGAAAATCTGAATGCAAGAACTTTTCCATTATTTGACACAGAGAACACCACAGATTTAACTTCAGGCAGCAGTAAATAAGAGATAGAAGCAGAATGTCCTTAGAGTGGATATTGCAAATTACTTTGTCATTGCTAAGGAGGTGCAGTAGAACTGAAATACCTAAAATTAGTACTGAGAAATTTTCAGTTCCCAATCTGAGGTACCTCTCCCATGCCAGTTTGCTGTACTTCACCTATTGGCTCCACACAGTTTAAATTACAGAAAGCATTCACTGTCCTAGCCAGACACACTGAGTCATGGAAACCTGTGGCTGTATAACTCAAGGTACTTCTTTTTTCTCTTTCTCTCAAGGGAAAACAAATGTAGTTCAATTGTATAAGAATACTGTACTCCATAGATATGGCAGGATATTTCTCCCCATAGTACTCCAGAAGGTTTTTCCTACAGGAATTTTTTTTAAAAGTATAATTATACATCAAAAGTAGCAAAACTAAGTGATAGGTTCTTAGGAATGCCTGTATCTTATGTGAATTTCATGAAAAATGTAATTACTAGAAAATGTCGAGGTTTTCATTGTATTTTCTTCTACTGTGCAGAAGAAAATTCCATTTTAGTTTTCATTTTAAATTAATTACATATATTTCTTAAAATTATAAGTAATTACCTTAACAGCCACCTTTAAATAAATTCATTTATATAACTGGTTTTATATGCATGTGTGCACAGAAGGTATATACAACAAAACAATACTCAAAATGATTTTTCACCTTCCTTTTCCAAAGGAAAAAAATGTGCTAATTACGATGATTCCTACAAAATAGCATAAATACAGTTTAAATACCCTCAGATCCCTGTAGTAATACAGATTCATCCTGGTCATGTGCTGTGTTTTCACCTAACTCTTTTGTCAGCAGGTGGCATCACCCAACCACAAATAAACAAAACCAAAAAAGACAAAGCAGTGCTTCATTATTACACTCTTCCTCATACCTCAGAAAGGGAAAAAGATAATCAGATCCCACAAAGACCACACCACAGCACAGAAAACTTCTATACAAGAAAAGCTGAGGGGTAAGCTGCCAACATTATAGCCCAGGCATTATCAACAAGTCTGTTAGAAAAAGAGTCAGCTTGGGAAGCTGTTAATGTTTGAGAAGCACAAAAATTGGCAACAGCAGGAGGAATGGAGAGGGAAACCGAAGGAACAGCAGCCAAGATGTGGTCTGACATGGTCAGATGTGGCCCTAACAGTGCTATCACCTCTGCCTAGGTCAGGTAGAGCAGCCTGGATTCCTGTAAGACATTGTGAGCTTTCTATTCCAGCTAGTATAGCAACAATAAAGGGTGCAAAAAGTAGCCACACACATTTTCGGTGCATATATGTGAACTTAGAGGTTTTTTCCACTGGTGAATGGACCAGTAGATTGCATGGAGACACAAAATATGGAGCAACTGCACCTCTCACAGACAGCATGTGGAAACAAGAGAACCAGAACTACACAGCCAGAAAAGCTGATGATGCTGGAGATGCACACGCAGACCTCCTGAGACAGGGTACTGTATGTGTATGCAACAGTGTGAATGAATCCTTGTGGCAATGGAAGAGAACACAATGAGACAATTCCTCGGAATTAGAATCAGAAAGCTGTTTAAATATTTGTGGCATTTAATAACATTTTCCAGGTGCCTAGTATTGTATGTTTTGCATCGTTACTCTTGATCTTAAATACGTAATTCAATTAACTGACTAGTTTATTTAATTCCCTGTAAGTTAATTATGTCAACAACAGACCAATAAATTCCTGTGATCATGATTTGATCTAAACTGCACAAGTTGAAGAGTTTCACCCTGCAAACACATCTCTCTGTCATCAACCACAAGATCTTTGTGCACAGACTGCCAAGTGATGTTGCTCAAAGAGAGAAATAAATGTCATGCCTACCTGCAGATGAACAATCGTAAACCAGGCACACACTTGCTCTCAGACGAGCATGCTGCCCATACTGCTCTTGCTTTGCTGCTTATATGCTCTTCAAAGATGCCATGCCACTTCCACTTACGTGATACAAGTTCAACTGGAATAAATAGAGGGAAAAAAGGTAATTCTTGAGCTATCAAGCTTTCTGAAGAATCCCTGTAATTTCAATAGTACTACCACACCAGCAGCCTTTAACAGGTTTTCGTGCTGGTAGACACACATCAAAATACAATGTTTAAGCTGGGAACACAACCTGTGATTTGCTGGATCACACCAGGGCTTAACAGGAAACTAAGGATGAAATTCCAAACTACAGCTCTCCTGATCCAATACTTGGAAAAGTCAGAGAGCCAACGGTCCACGGAAGATTAGCAGGGAGTCCAGCGGCTCCCAAAGGCAGCAGAGCGTAGGACAATCCATGCAGGAATGCCGCTGAACCAACCCCACGTGCTGCCCACTGTTTTCCAAAACACACTGACTCACCCAGCAGTGCCGCAGCGGCGCGGCACGGCCCGACCGCGCACGACACCGAGCTGCTCTGCCAGATATGAACTGCGCGGCCACGGACCGGGGAACAAAAAGCAAGAAAATTAAGCGCGCACACTGCTAACTATGTCATCAGTAGATGGATAAACTCATTAGATCCTCATTCAACCTGAGCTGCACACATGGAGGAGGTTCACTCTTCTGAAAGTTAGAAGAACGTCTTCTTTCTGTCAGCAACCAGAAGAGCTTCACGCACCCCTCTGTGGCTTTAACCAAGGCTGTGGCACCGTGACTTGAGCCACGAAGCCATTCCCAAGCCACTTTTTCAACAGCTTGCGATTTGCCCAGAAGCATTCTAGGGCCAAGACAAATATAACAGCGAAATACAAACCCTCCGCCCCGCCCACCCGCTCCACCCGGCCCCGGTGCCCCCCGAGCGGGGAGCGGGAGTACTTGCGCTGGAGGACGCGGTGACACGGACACGAATCCCGCTTCCAAGCAAAGCGCCAGTGCCAGCCCCCGTTCCGCGAGCGCCGGAGGCGGCGGCAACGCGGGGAGGAGGCAGGGCCGGGGCGGGCGGCGGCGCCGGAAGGTCCCGGCAGGCGCCGCGCTGCCCGTCATGGCTGCCGAGGTGAGGCGGCCGCGGTGCCCTGACACGGCCGGGTGCCCCCCGGGGCGGAGCGGCGCGGCCCCGGCCCGCGGCAGCGGCACTAGCAGCAGCAGCAGTAGGTGCTGGGGCCGAGGGGGATGGAGGGGCCGCGCCGGTGCCGCCCTGGCCGCGGGGGTGGCGGGCAAAGTCTCCTGTTGGTGTGCCGGAGTGTCCTTGCGGGAGCACGGGGCAGCCTGTCACAGGGGGATCGCCGCTACCAGAGATCTGCTCTCTGTGCTCGTGCTCGGGGAGAGGGATCGTACCCTTTTTTCCAGCCACCAAAAGGATTGGGGTTGGTTTTTTTCTGCATTGTAGTGACCCTGGTGGTTTTTCAGACTACGTATCTATTCTTCTTCCCCTAGGTAGCATTTCAGAACTCACTTGATTCAATATGGCTTTCATTAGCCGAAAAAGCTTCCAGCTGTATTCATCCAGCACACCAGCGAGCAGGTCTGCTTTGATGACCCTAAGCAGAAGGTTGAACTTCATCAGTGGGCAGCACAAACCCCAAAACTGTAGCTCCGTGGCCATGAGGATGATGTGTGTCAAAGATAAATCTCAGTATACGTTTTGTAGGAAAAAACATGTACAACTGCAGATGCAGTCACTTTCTGTTAATGAAGCTGTGCATCTTTGTGGAGATACGAGGAACTGTACTAAATCAAATAATGTGTGGATGGATGAACAATTATTTTTCAAGAGGTTGAACGGCCTTTGTACATCAAAAGAGATTTTATATTTTCTTAGCTCTCTAGAAGTCATGTCTGATACAATGGCCTCGGGAGCCCTGCAGAAGATTTCTGAACTTGAGGTGGATGACAATGGTCTTAAAAACCCTGCACTGTTAGAGAATGAAGTTTTCAGGGCATTATGCTTCCAGTTTGAATTTGAATCCTCAAACCTGTCAAACACGGGGCTGCTGAATGCCTTGCAGGCTTTGATAAAGCTGCGTATAGACCCACAGAGCACGCTGATGACGAGCCTGCTTTCGGAGAGCGAGGAGCGGCTTGGCCGGGGACAGCTGACTGCTGAACATCTCTGTGCTCTCGGAGAGAGTTTGCTTGAGTTAGAAAGCCCAAGTTGTGCCACGCTGGAACAAATTGTGAACCACATGCAAGAAAGAGACATTAAGAGTTGGAGCCCCAGGGAAGTAGTGATGGCTTACAAGATACTGGAAGTGACTGTGAGGGAAGGGAAACAATGGCAAAGCTTGCTAAACAGACTGAACAGTGTCACTTTAGGTGCAGTTTCCCAACTGAGCCCAAACTTTGTAAGTGTAATACTGAATTCACTGGTGGTTCTTGGTCAGACTCGGGCAGTTCTCTTAGTTACTGCACTTTGTAAACATTCAGTGCAGCATGTTCCCTATTTCACAGATCATGAACTGGTAAATGTACTGGAAGCTTTCCTATATTTTGGTCAAAAAATGCAAAATTTTACAGAGGCACTGGAAAGACATGTCCCCAAATCCATCCACATTATGCACCCTCAAACAGTCAGCAAGGTCATGCAGTATTGCTGCAAAAAGATGATCCTTTCAAAGCCCATCTTTGATGCAGTGGCAGAAGGTTTCATTTCCAGTGCTGACAGACTTACCACTGACCAGATTGCTGCGTATATTATCCCATTTGGGACCCTTAACTACCTCCCTCCAAGTGCATCTTCCTTGTTTGGGAAGCTTGAAACTGTGCTGCACACCCGCCTGAGGCACTTTCAGCCTCACACCTTGCTGAACCTGCTGCACTCGTGTGTCCTTATTCAACGTTATCCGACAAATTTCCTGCCAAAAATATTTAGTCCCTATTTTCTGCAAAAGCTTCAAGGTAAGGGGCAGAATTTCTCCTGGGATATTCCATGTTTCTTTCTATTATGGAGTTTGTCTCTTGTCAAGCACCTATTTGTTATCAATTTAATTTGTCAAATCAACAGTGACCTAATTGAAGTGGCTGGAAAATAGTGATCAGGAGGCCAAAGGCTGATGCTTCCTTGTCACAGTTGCTATTGTCTTTCATGTATATCATTTAGTTGAGTTGGACAATTGCACTGTACAGTTTTAAAACAAAGACTTGAATTTCCTTAAAAGAATTATTTCAGTTAATCCTTCTGGTTTTCTAAAAAACAGTGACTTGGTGTTCCCCATGTTTGTCCTTGTCTTATACATGATGCTAGAAGATCCCCCCTGTTGGTAGCCTGTTTTTAGCTCTAATCATTGCATATTTCAATGCTTTTGGACACAAAACTATTATGAATAACACATCATTTTGAGTTATTCTCTACTTGATACTAATGCATTGTTAGGGTCATTGTAGAGAGAGGTAACCTATGCCAGAAAAATGACTGACTGAATAATAAGATTTCAGCTAAGATTGCTCTACAAATAAAACTAAGCTAAAGTTTTCAAAGCTATTAGAAGTTTTGGTCACTTAATTTTTCAACAACATGAAACACCTGAAGGAGTTGATTTTTTTAAAGCAGATACATCTCCAGAAATTATTTGGTATTATCCACAACTTTCAGATGAAAAAAAATAATAAACTGTGAGATCCTGGGATTATAACTTGGGGAAAAGTAGTTATAAGAAGGAGGTATTTATCTAATACCTCAACTCAAATTTATTCTTTGGTGTAGAATGTCATGCATTTTTTTGATGTTCTTTTGTTTTTTGTGAAAAAATATGACAGTTTTAACTAAGATCTTGCTAGCTTTGTATTTTTGTATTGATATTTCTGTAAATAATGTTCTCATTTTTCTACCTGTTTAATTTCATACTGATTTTTCTGTTAGTTTAAACAAATGCTGAGAATTTTAATGATGAAGTAGCTTTTCTGCACATCATACTGAATAACTTTTCCTAACTTCTGCATTATGGTTTGTGTAAAGATACTTTGTGGAAGATACACCTGAAAACCTGAATGTTGTTGTTTCAGCTCAGCCACCTGGTTTGAACAGAGTTGTTATGTCCCAGCTAACCCAGCTTTTTCTGACTGTCACCCTGGAGTGCCCATTTTATGAGGTAAATAAGTGTGAAACCAGAAGTGATGTTAACAAGAGGTGATAAGGTCATTAGCACCCTGCTTATACTTAGTTTCGTGTATTTCCCATAAAAAGCTTTGGAATTGGACAAACCAGTTTTCCTTGATGAAAATATGGAGCATTTCTACCTGATTGAATGACTTGATATATTTGTATGAATGGAAACAGCTGTGCATTTCTCATGAATGTGATAGCATTGAAGCTTCCTGAGGATGTTCTGGTGGTTGTTTGGGTGATTTCAAGTTTCCAGCAAATCATACCTCAGACTGTGGATCTCTCAATAGACTTGGCTTTGAAATGCACAGAATACATTTTGCTATGTTAATATGAGATAATTACAAAAATGTTATCTCCCTTTTTAAATTTGGTTTTCTGTTCCTATCTAGGGTCCAAAACTCCTTTCCAAGTACCAGGTAAAGGCCTTTCCCACACCTCAGAGTTCTCTGGATGTTCACCTCTTTAAAAGGGTGAAGACAGGATTACTTGATTTACTGAAAAAAAGAATATACTTTGCATCAGAGGTATCAACACCATATTTCTATGTAGTTGGTAAGTATAATTTCTTTAGATTAGTTATTATGTATGTGTGTGTATGGTGCCAAAATTGTCATTTCCTTTGTGGGCTGTCTAAATTCTGCAAATACAGAAAAAGTAAACTGGGATACCAATTTCTGTAAAAGATCTGAAAGTTTGGAACTTTAAATAAATAATTTTTAGAGTCAGAGAAAGGAAAATGGAGAGAAAAGCTCTGCAGATTGGTATTCAGGCAGCCAGTCTGCACTGAAAACAGCTGCCTGTATTCTGTGTTTTTATTATCAGCTCCTTATCCATTAAGCAGTTTGCCTCATTTTGCTCTACATTATACAAAGCCACTTGCCTGAACTCCCTGCTTTAGTGGTGAGTAAAGGAAAGTGGTGAGCTGTGTGCCCTGCTCAGCTGGGCTCCTCTCCCCTCAGCAGGAGCTGCTGGCAGCACAGTCAGTGGGGGTTTGTGCCTGGTGAGACAGGAGTGAGCAATACTGAGTGTTGTGTGCAGCAGGAAACAGAAGGCAGTGATGAGGAAAGGCACCTGCCCAGGAAGGATGGATGTTGAGGGAAGAGAGTCTTGGACACCATGGATGTCAGAGAGATTGTAAAAAATAAAAAAGGGGGATGATTCCAAAGTTACTTTGTGTGTCAGCTTTCATGAGGATGTTGAAGCTAGCAGAGGGAGAGAGTGTATCTCTCCCCAAAGCCCTCAAAATTCCAGAGATCCTAGTTAGACAGCAAATCACCATTTAACTGTGTTACAGTTTTGAGTAGACTTGGAATACTACTTGGAATACTACATTGTTAGCATCATGAAAGGCTGAATTGTTACTAATTATCACTCATTTGTGTTAAGTCTATACAAATTTTGCCAGCCTCTGTGATTAAAAAAAATTGTGATAGTATTATAGTTGTTTAATAAAACAACTGTGAGAAAATGACAATTAAAGTAGAAAGTTTGATGTAAGAACTGACATTTAATGTCACTTCTCTTTTTTCATGTACACAAGATATTGAGATTAAATTAGATGAAGAAGGTTTTGTATTGCCTGCAGCCCAGCTTGAAGAGGTGCACAAACGGTAAGAGAATAAAAGAAACCACTGGTAAAATGTTGATTTACACTAGGAAAGAGTATCCAGGGTGAAAAACTAGCTAAATTTAAGCTATTTGCAGTTTTGCCATTGACTTCAAAGTTCAGGTCTCTCACTGAACCCGCTGGCAGAAGGACAAGATTAACAATCTTTTTGCTCATTGTTTTGCCGCCTGACTATGCAGTGTCAGACAGTTGGTTTCTTTACTCAATGACAGAATCAAGTGATCCTTATTTGGATTAATCTATTTTGATATTCTGTAATTAATTTTCAAATTAAAAGTAAATTCTAACTGAGTGTATTTGCACAGATTTAACAGATTTGAGTTCACAAATTTACTTCTGCAAGGAGTCCTGAATAATAAGGATATTTACTACAGATGCAGGTTGTTTTTTTTCATTGAGAAATACATAGGTGTTTAAAAATTTATTAAACAAGGGTTACTGGGGGAAGCCTTGGATACAAAGTTAAGCAACCTGCCTGTGTGGTAATTGTAACTGCTGTGTGAACAAAGCAAGAGTCTTTGAAGAGGTTAGGCTTTCTCTTCTGGTTTAAGCTGAAACCAGGATGCCTTCACATTTACAAGACTCAGAGACTAATACACGTTCTTTCCAAGAGCCCATGCTTAAGAATAAACTTCAATGTTGTTTTTCTTTTAAGAGTAGCTTTCATAAAGTAAATGAATTCACAGTATACTTAGCATACTGAAAATTTAAGCAACTTTTTAACAGTAGATATAAAAACCGTGGATTAACTTCATGGGATTTTTATTACCCAGAAGAAAAAATATTGCTATAATACATCCTGCCAACCTGTTGGCAGGATGTATTATATGTACAGATTTAACTTAAAACAGACGTAGCTTAAAGTCAATTTGAACTCTAATGGACTTAACAGGTAAATTAGTAAGTTAAATACATTTAGATGCTGAAATGTTTTCTAGCTGAGGCAAGTTTTTACGTTTTTCTTTCTAGAAGAATTTAAAACGGTTTACTAATCATAGCATTAAAAAAAAACCTCTCTTTAACTTGCATGGTAAGTTTTGTTCAGAGCAAATAAAAAATATTTTCAGATCAGTTTCACTAAGTTTCAGAGTTTCACCTCCACCCTTAAATTGAGTGATTTGAATTATCCTGGACTAGATAACTCCCATTCTGCATCCGATTCAATGAGTTGTAAGAGGGAGGTATTGTCTCATGCTTAGGAACTGCAGTAGTTGTGATTAATATAACTGATTGTTGTGGGTTTGTTGGGTTTTTTGGGTTTTTTTTGATATTACACTTATGCTTAATTTTAGAATTGCCCTGTGTGTTGATGGTCAAAATAGATTTTGTGCTCATAGCCACAATCTGTTGGGAGAAGAAGCTATTAAACAGAGACACCTTCAGTTACTTGGTTATGAAGTTGTGCAGGTAAAGTCCAAAGACACTGATTTACTTTTGCTCTAAGAAAACAAGCAAAAAGTTATTTCACAATACTTTAAACTGTAGTTTCAATTAATTCCTAAAGCAGATTAGTCTTGTTCTTTCTATATTACGTTCGCTCTGCCGAGTTTTTGCCTTTTTGAGGCTGTACAGAACTACCTTTTTCTTCCATGGACCGATTAGTGTATTCTGTCTGTGGTTTTTGCCACATAGTTGCTGTATAGAAGGGTACTTCTCTTCAGTGATTAAGATTGAAATCTTGAATGAAAGAAAAATGTAAGAGTTCATTAGAATTGAAATTTTTAATTAAATACTTTTTAAAAAGATTTGAAGTTTAAAAAGAGGAGTTAAAAAAGCTGGTTTGTATCAGTTTTGAAAATAATATTTTCACAATATTATTTTCACAACAGAGTATAACCTTTATTTTGACTGTTGAATTAATAGAGGTATATTTTTCTTGAAACATACTTTGAATGAAAACTGTTCGTTTCTTGAGATTTTATTTTTCACTTACCATCACTTATTACATAAGCCTAACTCCATAATATTTAGCTTAGTTTAAACTGCAATAAATATCACTATTTTTATTTTAATAGTAATCTCTCTTCAGGTAATTTATAGATCAATAGTACATTTAGGATTAAATCTTTAGTTTTAAAACAAAATAAGTATTTAATGTGTAGTTTTGCAACTGCTTAATGAACATCAGTCTTACCCAGTTGTTTATTAAAAGGTATTTTCAACAATCATTTCTGTTTTGTTTCCAGATTCCATTTTTTGAGATAGAAAGTCTACAAAGTACCAGAAAAATAGCAGATTATCTACACAAAAAAATCTTTCCTTGTACATAATGACTCAGCAACTGACACTGGAGAATACTGCTGGATAACAGGCTGACCTTCTATACTACAAAGTGTAAATTTTGTGCATGGAAGAAAAACTATTTTTTCTAAGTAACTCCACCTCAGAAAATGTGAGCTTCTGAGTGTGAAACCTTCCAATATTTGGAACAATTGACATGTAAAGAGTAATAAAGAGCATTGTATTTTCTTAAGATTTGTGTCAATATTTATTACAAGTTTACAGAGATAGGTGCCAGACAGACAGTGCTGCTTTTCTCTTGTATTTTTAACTGGTTCTAATTCACAGCTGCCAACAGCCATGTGTGACTGTTGAAGAATACTGGCCAGTCTGGATCTACAGAATATGCCTACAGAATACCTACTATTCAGGGCTTTTCTTGACAGTATAAAAAGAAATTGTGCAATTTACTTACTGCTGCTCACTTGATTTCCCAAGTGTTTCATAAAACTAAAATTTTAAGTAGTTGCAGAAACAGTATTGGCTTATTGGTTTTACTTAAGAGGTGCAGAGTGCTGTTCAATAAATAGCAATGCCTTACAGAAAATGAGAAGATTTTTAATAAAAAGTATTTGCTTCATTTTGTAAAGTAACAGCTTCCACAGGATATGGACTTGTACAACTGTCTCAGTGGGGCCACCCAGTGTTCCAGATATATTCTGTTTGTCGTTTTGCCTTTGGTGGCAGCTTTAGCTAAACTGTCTAAATGGGGTCATCTATGTGCTCCAGAGTTCCTCTGGGTTACAGAAACTCTATGCTCTGAAGCTCAGAAGAACTATGTCCCATGGCAGCCCTTTTTTATGTATGAACAAAAATTCTGGAACTGAGAACCAGTACCCACTTCAGCCAGAACAAGTGCACTAACTTGGGTCAGTATATTGCTTTGCAGATGATGAAGGGAAAACAGGAAACCTTTAGTTCTGATTATATAATGTATTCTCAATGAACTGTCATGTAACACATTTTCTTGTTAGCTTGTGCTTCCTCTCTGTGTGGAATTATGGAATTACTATTTATGGCTAGCAAAGCAGAATTCCCAGCGTTACCTAGTTTGATTTTCACTGTTGTTTTGACACGCTAAAAAAAGGTGAAACTTTCACATAATTTATATTATGTGTATTTCACCAGTAGATCGGGATTGTGGCCAGTTTTTCCTTCTAATAATTTGTGAGTTGCAGGTATCTGTCAATTGCCCCAACTGATTTTACTGGATGCAAAACCCAGATGCAGAATATGCTTTACATTGTATACACTGTCCATTCTGTCCATGTTAATTTGTTGCATGTATAAAACTTCCTCACAGTAGTAGGTCAACACTGACAGGTGAGGGAGCACCAAAAGGTGCTTTCCAATGTGTAATAGTAAGATCAGAACATCAATAACCTAAGAATTTGTCATTCTAGCAAGAAAGAAGTTGGAGAGTTGAAAGGCTTTGCAAACGTTTATATTACTTCTGTATTACCACTAATACAGAAGAAATTGTCAGGGTGTTGTTCTGACACTGAGCACTGAAGGAAGAAGTGAACCATTCAGAACTGAATGGGAAACAAGTAGTGGGAGGAACAACCTGTGAAAGACCTTCCAAAGTGAGTAAAGATGAGAAGGGTGTGCCATAAGCAAGGAAATTATTTCGGAAAACTCAAACTGGTGTTAGGATGTTTGTGGTGGAAGTGATGCCTATTTCTCACACAGGCCAGAAGGTGGTGGTATTCTCAAACAAATTTGATTTCCAATAGTTTTTCAAACACAGATGGTCTGTAAATATAGTATGGCTACTTCAAAAAAGCAATTTGTACTGACTGTCCCAAAGTAAAAATAACCTGCTAAGAATATGGCCATATTCCATCTCATTCTTCACTGGTATAACTTTGGTACTGATTTTTGGAAAAGCATTGTGGTATTAGAAAACATTTCCTTCTCTCTTTTGTTCTTACTATGATTCCTTTCATTTAATGCTGCTGGATTTGTTTAGTGACGCGATTATTTTTGGAAAGGAATGTAGCTATTAATGTCCTTTTGTCCATAGCGCATTGAGTGTAGTAGAACTGTGTTGCAGACATCTTTGCATGAAAATTCTTTCCTTGGGATTTTTTTTTCCTCCTGAGAAGCTGTGAGGCCTCAGGAACAAAATGTAAATAGTGGTTATCTGCTGCTGTGGAATGCAACAGGCGGGTCTGTGATTGGTCTCATGTGCTTGTTTGTAATTAATGACCAATCACAGCACAGCTGGCTCTCTCTCTGTCTGAGCCACAAACCTTTGTTATTCATTCCTTTCTATTCTTAGCTTAGCTAGCCTTCTGAGAACCTTTTCTTCTATTCTTTTAGTATAGTTTTAATGTAATATTATCATCAAATAATAAATCAAGCCTTCTGAAGTATGGAGTCAAATCCTCATCTCTTCCCTCATCCAAAGACCCCTGTGACCACCGTCACAGAACTGCAGGTCATGAGTAATGAAAGTAACAAACACCTCTCAGAATGGGCTGCCCTATGTGCTCTGCTTCTCACATCATGCCAAACAAGTGCTATTGATTGCCTAATTTACTACTTTTTCAGGTTCCATATTTAGAAGGTTTTTGTTTCTCTTTTTTTTTTTTCCACTAGGTGTCTCACTGCATTTACCAATGACACAGGTTTCCTGTGTCTAAATACCTGACAAAACCAGTGTCAATCACAGCTGTGGGCTTCCAGTCCTTTTCCTGGTATGATCAAGCTGGCTGTTCCTTTCTGAACAATACTGCTTCAGCCTTAAAAAACAACAGGATCAATGGCTCTTGAGAACCAAACTGATGCATATTCTGCAGGAGAAACTCCTCCTGAAATTACCTTAAAATTTAAGTACTGGATTCTGTTAAAATACAAGGCATCAAATGTTTCATCAGATTTAGACATTTGTGCTAAATGTGCTTTTGAAATGGCTATTGCTCAAATCCTTTTTGTTTTTTTCACCCTTTCTACCAAATTATATAGTGCTCATTCTGCTAGTATTCTTAGTCTATGTTCCCATTTTTTTCAGATTCGATACAGAACCAATGATGATTTTTCTTGTTAAATCAGTCAGATGCCATTCCTAGAGTGGGTCAGTGAAATGAATGTCTGAATTCAGCTAAACCCAGATTTTATCTCTTCAAATGCCAAGTGCTCAGAGGTTCGTTTTAACTCGAGTTCCACTTGAAGTCTAATAAAGCTGCTAAGCACATAAATGCATGCATTTTTGAAAATTCTGAGCTGAATATACATTTCAGCTGTTGCATACATAAAACAAGGTCTCACAATTCTCTAGCAACTCTGTAAGCATTGAAAAATTTGTGACTATTGATACCTTGAAGGACAAGCTTGTATAAAATGTTAGATCTGTGAATGGTTGTGTAGCTGCAGTGCCCAGAATTGCAGACACATCTTTTGACCCAACAGGTTCCCAGCATTGCTGCCTAAAAAGTTCTTGTTGGTGCTGCTCCTTATGAGATTTTTATGAGAATATAAGGAGAAGACATGCATTTGAATTAACATGAGAAAAAGTGCAGCTGCTATTTCACCCTATTTTTTAATCCAGATAATTCTCATTAAATAAACAGTAGAGGAAAAAGCAAAAGCACCATATTGCTTTTCAAAGTGCTGGTTTATTTTTTTCCCAAATAAATGTTGCTGGTGATGACAGACACAAGAGATTTCCCATGGATCCAGGCCTGGAGAAGGTTTTTAATGAGCAAGGCGGCTGCCTTCCCCGTAGATTGCTGCGTGCAGGCTATGAACCCTGGCGTGCTCTCTGGTTGGTGGGTCTAAGAGCTTATCTATGCGCTTCCCATACTCTGAAGATGTCAGCACAGGAACAGTTCTTGCCATTTCCTGTGAAAACACAAAAGTTGCCTTAGAAGAAAATCACAAGGTGAATAAAAAACGTGGCAGTTTTCTATTGCTAAATGTGCTGTGGCCAGGGGTAAAAGAACTGACACAACTGTACAGCATCTGCAATATGCATGTGTATTTGTTTAGCACCCTTACTGTTCTATCCCTGCTGCAGTTTTTTTATGTTATTTTTATCTTAGTAAAACATGAATGTGTCACTAGATGACAAGATGAGAAGAGACAGAGCTGTGGACCGATAATTTTTTTACACAAATACATACACACGTGATTACCATGTGATTACTGGGTAACTAAATGCTTGAAAAGCACTGATTTTATTTTTATTTTTCTCGTGCACTTAGTTGCATGATTCTTTTGAAAAACAGGAGAGATTTGTGCCCCCCCCACAGGAACACCTACCCTCCTTGCACAATTCAGTGAAGGCACAGCATGAAAAAAATCAAAGTCTGAAGAAAAGCACTGAGCAACCACTAGCCCATGCAAGCATTTCCTGAAGGAAATAAAGCATATACTACTTTATTTCTGCACAATGAAAGGTTTTACGAAAAATACTTATAGCTGTAAGATTACAGAAATATCTGCTTTGCCATGATGGAAAGTGGACTTGATGAAAAACCTGACAAAGAAAAGATTTTAAGCTTGTTCTTATTAAGCTGCACTTTAAGTGGCTGTGCAATCACTATCTGCAATCTGCAGTTCCTTCCTGTGTTAGAGCAACAGAGAGCTACGGAGTCAGAAGGGAAAGACGGGATTTGTTTGTTTTTCTCTCCCTAGCCAAAGGTCTCAGATTTATCAGGCTGCTTGTATATTTGCACACAGACCAACACAGTAAGCCTTGGTCTGCAATGTGTTTTTCTCGTCTTATAATACACATATTATCTAACAGGCAAATCAAAATGCAGATGCCACCATAGTTCAAGTGCAAGCAAATTACTACCTTGCTACAACAGACACAAGCGTGAGCAAATCAGCACCTATGTCCTGCAAGGATGCTGGTGGGAGCACAGATTGGTGGGATCTCATAGCAGGGCAGTCAGCTATGACACATTTCTAGCCTCATGGCCAGAACCTGAGGTTCCTGGAAAGATGCTGTAAACACTTTAAAAACAAACAAACAAACAAACAAACAAACAAACAAACTAACTAACTAACTAACTAACTAACTAACTAACCAACCCACTCAATACAAAAGCTCATTTCAAAACAACCACTGATCTCCCAGTTCTCCTGCCCACCTTACTCCACCCTAATAAAACCTATTCAGTACACCAACTTTTAACCCCAGCAGAATGAAAATCAAGTCAAGAAGACTGGCAGGCAAAATTA